TTAACAGTGGTTTAAGGATAAGCATATTTAAAATGGTTCAATATTAGGGATATTCACAATGGTTCAACAATTGGGGCATTAATAGTGGTTCACAATTAGGGCTATTCACGGTATAATAAAGATATTCACAGTGGTTCAAGATTAGAAATATTAACAGTGGTTTAGGGATATTCACAGTTGTTTAACAAAAGTGGCAATAACAATGGTTCACAATTAGAATTAGGGATATTCACAGTGGTCAAAGAATAAAGATATTCACAGTGGTTCAAGATTAGGGGCATTAACAGTGGTTCAAAAATAGGGATATTCACAATGGTTCAAGATTAAGATATTCACAGTGGTTCAAGATTAAGGACAATCACAGTGGTTCAAGATTTCCAGTTGAATTTTATAAAAAATGTATTTTTTACTTTTTTTACTAAACAAAAAAAAGTAAAAGAACTTTCTTAGAATGTAAAACAATTGCAAATTATTTCAATGTTTTAATGAAGTAGTTAATTTAACTTTTTAAAGATAAAATTATTTGATGTTTTAATAAAAAGGTTGACTAAATGTTTTCATAAAGTGGTTTGATTTATTGATTTTATTTAGTGGTTCATTTATATGTTTTTATTTAGTGCTTCATTTTTATGTTTTTATTTAGTGGTTCATTTTTATGTTTTTATTTAGTGGTTCATCCTTATTTTTTTATTTAGTTGTTCATTTTTATGTTTTCTTGAAGTGGTTGATTGAATGTTTTCATGGAGTTGTTGATTAAAATTTGCAATTTTAAAGATCTGCATTAATATAAGTTTGCGAATAATTTGAATTCAAGCTTTTTGCATTAATTGGTTTCTGTTTCTGTAAGGGAATTTTTACATAGTTAATGGGACTGTACAAATATTTATTTTTGGGTAAGAGAAAAAGTCAAAATAAAACATAATATACATATGAAAAAAGGAGATAGTGGGGGAACGGGGGAGAGAGGGGGGTGAGTGCTCAATATGAAAATTTTATGAATAATTTAATGAACTGATTAGTAGCCACAAAATCTAATGTTATAATCTCTAAAAATATTAAAACTTGATTTGACAGAATTTTTACTTCAAAGATATTATAGGACAAGAATTTGAAACAAATAATTAGTTCCTTTCAAGATGTATAATGAAGAATTGGTTTAAATTATGTATTGGTTTTGGTTTATTTAATTTATTAATAGTTTTCCCGTAGCTTAATAACCAGCTTAGTTAAAGGGTTTTGTGTGTGTTTTATACCTTTCATATTATTGATCAGATAAAGGTTTCAATCAATGGCAGCTTTGTAAATATTGAATTCCCATCTTTGCCAAGTGGTTCCCTTGAAATTACGCTTACTCCCTACTAGTCAAACACTCTTCTTCCTACTCCACAGTTTTGTGAGTCTCACTGTAGGAAAGGTAAGGATTTGCTCATGTTGTATAGATTGACCAGATTGAGCCGTGTAGTTATGAAGACGACAAGCAAACTTGGAGAAAAATATTCGCTTTAACCTGTTGAGTGTACTTTAATGAAGGTGTATTGGTTTCATGGATTGAAAAACGTTAAAGTTAATTGTTTTAAGAATTCCTATAAAGTAATAAATACTTTTAAGAACTTTTTGATTGAAAAATTAATAATTAAAAGAAATTCAAATAAATTTTCAATTTAACAAAAAACAAATTAAACTATTTCTAAATTATTGAATCTATGGAGAAAATTCCTTGAAAACACGATTAATTTCTTTCATTTTCTAATAGAAATATATCTATCTAGCTAGTTAGATAGATTGTTAGATTTTTAGATTTTTAATTTGATCTTTATTGTTTATAAGTTTATCAAAAAAAAAAAAATCTTAAACCAGTTTCTTATTGTAGCTAAAAATTTTAAACTAAAAAAACCCCAAAATTCCTTGTATTCAAAAATTTTTCAAAATAATAGTATTTATTTTTTTTCTAATAAAGGTAGTTTCCTAATAAAGCTATCACTGTGATTTTTGAGAAAGGTATCATTCTGATTTTGATAAAGGTATCACTGTAATTTTGAAAAAGGTATCACTGTAATTTTTCAAAAAGGTTTTCTGGGATTTCATATAAAAGATATCACTGTGATTTTGAATAATTCGTTATTGAACTGTAAATAAAATAAAAAAGTTTTAAAGTATCAAAAAATTCAGAATGTTTTGAATCCCCATAGTGCGCTTTTTAAACAAACTGTCAAAGAATTTTTCTATGATAAATATTTAGGTTTATTCCCCGGGGTAATAGGTTATTGGGGGGGGGTGAGGTAAGATTGAAGTTGCAGTCTAGTTTACAGTGTCCAACTGATCTATTAAGTTGCAATCTAGTTTAACAGTGTCTAACCGATCAATTAAGTTGCAGTCTAGTTTACAGTGTCCAACCGATCTATTAAGTTGCAGTCTAGTTTACAGTGTCCAACTGATCTATTAAGTTGCAATCTAGTTTGACAGTGTCCTAGTTTACAGTGTCCAACTGATCTATTAAGTTGCAATCTAGTTTGACAGTGTCTAACCGATCTATTTTTTGTCATCTTTGTAAAATAAAGCATACAACTNATCTAGTTTAACAGTGTCTAACCGATCTATTTTTTGTCTTCTTTGTAAAATAAAGCATACAATTACTGATCTTTTTAATAATTGAGTTTTGCAATTATCAGATGTCAAGGTTTTTCTGTAAAACAATTTTAATCTATATTTTTAATCTTTTCAAACAGTTTACAAAAATATCATTTTTTGATAAAAAATTGCGCATATTTTTATTTCTTTAAGGTATCAAATTACAGTTGCTTAATGAGAAGCTCCAATTTAAAATATCATTGAAAAGGAAATGAGAACTCCAATTTTCTATGCCAGATTCCGAATTTAATAAATTAAAGCCGCTTCCCAAAACCGCCAAAAACCGGTTCAAATTGAGCGCCGGCTTTAATCTTAAAACATAGAACAATTTTAAGAGGAACCCGCCATATTTTTGCCGAGTCTTATTTATCTAAATATATCCGTCAACTCTTGAATGAATGATTTTTACAGTAATTATTTATTTTCTTTAATTTTGCTTTTACAATTGAATTCCATCTAGTTTTTAAAAAATGCATTTATTTCTGTTTGTTTTTAAAAAGATGTGGAGTTGGGAATTTGATATAAATAGTTTGTTGCAAGTTTGGCAGGAAGAAACTAAATGTTTTGTAAAAACTTGAGAAACAAACTTAACATTTGCGGATTTTTATCCTCCATGGGTTTCACAGATTTATGCTTTCGTCTAAACTTTGAAATAATTAAGGATACTATCGACGGATCCTAAAACTGCAGGGGGTCTGATACTAACAAAGTTTTTTTTTATAGTTTCCAATAGAAATATATCCAAATTGACTTGGTAGTGGAGTTTTCGATTTTCATGTTTATTTTGGCACTTTTTTCACCTGAAAGGAAACACTAATTTATACTAATGAAACGTAATAAAAGCAGTGCTATACCGTCTCATTAATAATGAGGGGAAATACAGAAAATAGAAAATTAAAAAAAATATTTGTTATTTCAAACTTTCGGAATAAATTGAGTGTAAACTATTTTTAAAAAAAAATAGATTTAGAAAAAAAAATAAAAATTTTGAACAAAATGAGTTTTTTAAATTCCGGATTTTTACAGATAATTTAAATCCCTTTCTTTGAAAAGGTTCTTCAAAAAAAGTATTTTCAAATAAAAAAAAGCTAAAACAGTGTTAAAATTTCTCTTAAATCATCTCTATTCCTACCTTGTAAAAGTCAAAATAGGGTTAAAATGAGGAAAAAATCGGAAATCACTTACGAAATCCGAAAAGACTCCTAAAGTGTATCTGTAAAAGTTATAAATAATTAAAAAGTTTTAAAAACTTTATAAAGTCGACATGTTGGTTTTGCACCCTGTGTACAGTGTACAGAGTTAATATTGCAGATATACTGTTTCAAGTTGTACAAAGTTAAAGTTATAATTCTTAACCAGACCCTGCAAACCTGCAATACGGGCTAAACTCGGACACTCATACAACAAGAAATACAAGGGGGCTAAACTTGGACACGCATACACCTAGAAATCCAAGGGGGGCTAAACTTGGACACTCATACACCTAGAAATCCAAGGGGGGCTAAACTTGGACACATACACCAATAAATCCAAGGGGGGCTAAACTTGGACACTCTTACACCTAAAAATATAAGTGGGGGCTAAA